TACCTGAATTGTATCTGGATTTCTCCTTGGGACAGCAATCTACAATGTAAAAGATTTTAACCAAGCTCTATTATCATTTTGGTTGAAAATGTTTTCATTTACTATAACTGATGCAGACCTTATCTTTTAACTATTTATTAGTTAGTATTATTGTAGTTCACAAGTTAATAAGTGGAACTTGAATAATTTAAAAGGAGACAAAGTGAAGTATGTTTACCTGTTCCTACAACAGCTTGTGTTCTCTCAAAGAAGAACTGATATTTGTGGTGACCTAGATGTATAATTGAGAGATACCTATAAGAGTTTTTGGTTACATGTAATCACATCGTTTTCACAGTTAAATTAGGCTATTTTTTTGGATGATATAGAATGGCTAGTTTTATCTATTAGACACAGCTACAAGGAATTAACTAAAAGGAAGTTAAGTCTTCCAAATACATCCAAGAATTACAGTTGTGTAGCAATGTTGAATAGAATTACTACGAAATCTTAGCATTATTTTCCTTAATGGTGATTCGAGAATTAATTTGATGCCTTCTATGAAAGCCGTTCTGTACTAACCACTCGATTGCTTCAGAAATTTAGTTTGGTTGGTTAGTAGGTTGACATTGCTGTACAAGAAACATTGAGCTGTGAATCTCCCCTCTTTTTTGGGATGGAATCTCCTCTCTTTCTTGGGATGATAATGAGTATTGAATTGTATTTTGTGTATATACCTATCCTATTTCCTGTAATTCTACTAATATTGCCTGAATTGTTTGGTTGTTCATTATCTGATGGTAGTAAATGCTTTGATAAAGTACTGTTAGAGTCATGAATAACTTACATTCTGGTGCAAGTCTAGGGTTGTGGTCATACTACACGCAAGGGCTTTAACTTCTGCAGAAGTCTGAAAGAAGACATTTTAGTTTGTTTTAGAATTTTTTTCATAATAGAGGTATGATTAATGTTACATTTCATGATTACAAGAAATTAAGTTCTCTTTTTACCATAGTGCATGTTGTAGCTGTAGCATCTTTCAGTAGTTTGACAGCTGTATCCATGAGGATTAAATTCTTCGAAGTATCGGTATATAAATTTTCCACTCATTTTCCTGAAAGATAAGTTGAATAAGCAATACCCTTCATTTGGTCTGAAAATATGTTGAGATCCTTGTGTACAGATGTTGTATAGATTTGTTCTGAGAACCAAACAGTTTTTCAAAAGTATTGTTTCAATGAAGAACAGTGTTTTGCGTGACATTTCGCGTGACATTTTGTTATTGATTTCAACAGTTTAATATTACACTTTCTATCAAATGTGATTACATTGATTGACATTGCAATTTGAGCAGCTCGATGTAGGAATCGTTTTAAGTTAGTTTTACACGTGTCGGAATGGATAGCTTCTCGTCTTAAAGGTTTTTTACAGTCTAATTAGACTCTGGAATCCCGTCACGAAGTGAGTCAGTTTAAGGTATTCCTGGAGGCTATTTTAAGCATTTTTGTTTGATATCTTTTGTAGGAATTTTCTAAGATATATTTACTCAAAGTCTGCCATATTAACACCATTGAATAATCATTTCAAGTACCTTCTGACAAAATTGTTTTTTCTCAGAAAGAATGTAAAGTATTTCTGGAATTTGACGTATATGTGGGCGTGGCCGTAGCCATGTCACATCAAACTTTCCTAAAAATCTTGAGTAAAATTTATCCATTGGGCATAACCTCTGGCCAAACAATGCCCATCAATATTTTCTACATTGCTTTGGCAGTGCGCCAAAATTAATAGATACCAGAATATTTTAAGCCGCTAAATCTGATATCTCTAGTCCGTGAATTTTGTGGAGCCACCACCATTCATATATCTGAGAAGAACTGACCTGCTGCCAAGGAACTATTCGTAGATAAGTTTAGTTCATATCCTCCAAGTTTCAAGTCTTTCTGTCAAAATCACACAAAGAAGTTACAACTGGCAAAGCTCTCCTCAAAATTTGGAGGCCATTTACGTCAAAAAATCATTCGCAAATTGAAGAGAAATCGATTAAGCAATCACGGCCCGAAACCCCATGTAGCTACGAAGGTACACTGTATTGTGCAGAGGAGGAAAACATATTTCGAAGATTCCGCAATGCCTAAAACGAAAGCGTCTATAAGCAGAAAAAAGCATCGGAAAAGGCTCACAAAGCCCGAGGTTATGGTTCGAAAGCAAGAATCCGTTTAGATTTTGAAAAGTTGAGAAACGCAGGATGGACAATTGAAGAACGGCAAACAAAATCTGGCTCAACAGTTCACTTCAAATACCGAAATCCCGATGGTAAAACTATCAAAAGTGCTAGAGAAGTTGAGTGTCAGTTAGAAGCTGAAGGAACTCTCCACAGTTTCATTATGGATGAAAGTAAGGGAAAAAAATCGATGGAGACTCCTCAACAAGCAGATGACTTGTCATTGTCTGACGGCTCTGAGGACTCTGATTATGAGCCTCCTGAAAAACAAGCGCCAAAAGAAATAAAGGCCACTAAATGGTAAGATACTACATGTAAAAATTCATTATATAAAACTCTCTGTACACAAGGTCGGTAGAAAAGCTAAACCCTTTATAAAGATTTCACATGTTAGATATGTTCCTCGTGGGATTTGTGTGAGTAAATATTGAACGGAGAAGATCTGTGCCTTCATGCGATAAACATTGTGGAAACATTGAGCAATGGAATTCAGTGTATATTACTAGGTTGTAATTTTATGTGTTTCACTGACGATCTTTGGTTTGGTCTTCTTTCGGTTTTATTAATCGGTAACGCTTGTTGCATACTACAACTGATATTAATTAAAAAAACTAAATCTGAATATCTTTGTGTGGAATTTACATTGCATTCCTGACTCTATGGCTAGTGTCTAGAGAATATTCTTGAGGTAATATCTTGCCTTGATACTTTTTTTGCAGTGTCAGTGTGCCAGAAGGGCTATTTGTTGCGACCACCTCTAGCATCGTCAATTGCGTCGATGAGATAAACCACTATTTCAAGTGTTCCTCAAACAATGGAAAATGTAGAGGTGAGATATAATCTGGAATTCATTGTCCAGATTGATTGTTTCATTGTTATTGTCACAGTGAATGTTATTATAAAGCCAAAGCCATAGCCTTTTTCAATGGCTCTTTTTATTCTATTTTTCCATTTGATCAAGTGACAGACAAACTGCACTGTGTAGTGAATCAGTCCTTTACAATGTACCCTGATCGTTGTGAATTGATGCCAGAAAAATATAAACCAAAGACTCAGAGCATGTCTGTAAAGTTAGGGACCTCGCATTTTATTTTGTTCGTCTGTAAGAAAATAATTATGAATTGGTCAATCATTGATTGGGTTACTAAAGTAAAAAAGATTAAACTTGACTTGCGTATAAACCTTCTTATCCTTTTCACTGGTTTGCCAAAAAAATGTTGTGTAATTTCTTTCTCACTGAAACATTTATGCATTTCACTGCAAATCCTGTTAGGTTTCACTGAGAATCCTGCTTATATCATTAAAACTATTGTGCAGTGGTGTAATACATTCATCTTATTGACCAAGCATACTGGGGAATGTACTAGGAGAATATCGGGTCTTGGTCTTCCTTGGCGAGACCAGAAATCTTTTTGGGGCCAGTATGAGTAACCTCGCTTTTTTACTAAATTTGTGTTACAGGCAAACTTGTACTCGCGGCATATAGCAAGAAGGGTTGTGGAGGGGCAATGATGTTCACATTCAAGTGCCATGGTTGCTGGACTGTCGAGATTGATTATAAGAGTAGCCATCTTGCCCGAGAATCTAGACAGGAACTTGTGTCCTTGGCCCTTTCCCTGGCCTTTTTTATCAGTGGGCATGGGTATGCTGGGTATAGGAAGACCTTGGGAAGAGGCTTGGGTTTGGGAATAGTTTCAGAAAAGCCTTATCTTGAAGTTGTAGATCTAGCCCTCCCCTACATAAAATCAATGCTGGATGAGATGTGCAATGAAGCAAAAGAGAAAATGAAAGAAATTGCACATGATCAAATAGGCAGCTGGTCAAGAGCAGTGACCTGCTGTGATGGTTGTTGGCTGATTAGAGGGCACTTCAGCCAAAATTGTACATTTGTCATTAAGAATTATATAACAGGTGCCCTTCTCTACTATGGTCATCTGTGTATGAGAGGAGCAGAAACTATCTGTGATGAGGAGCTCTGGCAAGGGACAGCTAAGGCAGCAGAGGGCCACCTAAGTCAAGTCCTTTGGGCCAAAGCTAAGGAGGAGGGGCTAAATGTAGAAGTGAATTGGCAGGATGCTGACTCATCCTCAGCCAAGGGGTTTCGCCATTCTTACTCTAACGAGCAAGAAAGTAAAATTATGTTGTGTGGGGGTCATGTCGGGAGGGCTCATGGCAAGAAGCTGGAGGAACTGAAGACTAAGTCTTCTTTTTCTTCTGCATTCATTGCCTTGCACAAGGAACAGTTTCCAGGCATTATCTCAGCAAAATGTTGTTGTATTGGGAAAAATCACACCTTTGTGGCAACCCGAAACAAACCTGTTTGTGGATGTATTGGACCAGGGTTTATACAAAATGCAAAACGTAATCATTACTGTGCCCTTGTCCATGCTGGGAATAGCCCTGATAAGTATAGGGAAACTATGTTGGCCCTGGGAAGATATCACAGTAAAGATATGCATGAATGGGAAGGGGGTTCTTGTACCTTTCACCCATTGGTTAAGTGCAGCTGTAAGAATTGTGAAGCTGATGTTGATGGGTTTTACTCAGAGCTGAAATGTTCTGGTGAGGACTATCACTCAGCCCACATCCTGACTTGCGAATTTCATGCACTTGCCTATGAGATAGAGTGCACTCAGAGGGCTGAAGATGCTGAGAAGGTCATTGACCCTGAGTTGGGAAAAGGTCATTCCAACCTCCCTGAGTCCACATTTAGTGTTCTCACAAAATTTAGGGCCAAGGACACTAATTTGCACATGAAGCACTACCATGCTGCAACCAATCTGGGGTTGCTTCAGGCCAATATGACTTGGTGCCACAGAAATAGAGGACCAGAGTACCACTGGATCCCAGAACTGTACTCCAAAATGGGTCTACCTGTCCTTGATGGGATTCAGGAAATGGTATGTAGATTTGTATGGGGTTTGAAAAATGGCTTTTTGAAATATAAATGTAATATAAATGTAAAAAAGTGTAAATAATAGTGTTAGTACATTATTATTGTCATTCCTGATACATTTGCTTTTACAATCAATCATGTTACTATATAATAATTATTATTGTTATTGTTAATATTATTTGTTGTTATTGTTGTTGCTTTTCAGCGATTGATACAAGTCATAAACTAATAGGGAAAATAATTTTTAATGCTCATGTTATTCGTCTTATTACTTTATATGACAGTGTCAACACGACAATGAAAAAAGGTACAAGAGGCTGCAGCGCTACAAAACAGTGGAAGGGAAGAGAAAAAGGGTTCAAAGGAAGGTCAACCGTGCTGAGGAGCAGAAGCTAAGGTACCTTGAATTATTGAAATTATTTCAAAGTCATTAGAGCATTTCTTTCGAAGTGGGATTCATATCATATTGTCATATCATAAATATTGATAGCTCTCAACCTTTATTTCTATCTTTTCTTCCTAGGAAGAGATATGTAAAAAATTGCCAGATTCAGCATACATATGGAGAGGATGTCGAGGATGATCTGATGGAAGAAGAAGCAGTACTGCTTACCGAGTCTGCTATAAATGATGGAACTGCAACTGCTCTTATTATACCTAACACAATTACACCAGCCCCTAATGGAGCAGTTGTTGAAGTTGGAGGGAAAAAGTGTAAATGGTGTGCAAGCACTACCCACTCCCGTAAGAGCCACAAAGACTGCCCTTACAATAATTCAAGGGTTTAAGGTTTTTCTCAGACTGGGGGATATTTCTTTGCAATAATAAGGCTAAAGAGATAAAAACCTTATTATTGAAATAAGTGTATTTCACTGGTACATTGCTTAGTAGGAAAACTCACAAGGAGTGCCCCCATAACCCAAAAAATGCCTCAAGTTCTAGTTGAGAACTATTCTTCAAGTGTTGTTTTGATTTGATAGCCATGTAAATATTATAATTAAGAGATACTCAAAACTGTAGCAACTTTCAACAGAAAGAAACTTAGAATTGCCATGATTTTATGCACATTTTCCTGCTATTGAAGCCATTTACATTGACTGCTTGTGGTATTGTTTGATTGGCCTTAGGTTTTGTTTGACAGCACTCAATTGAAAAGTGCTCTATTATCAGAACATGCAACAAATTATTTGAGAGGTAACAAAAGAGATGACACTTCCCCTTAAAAATGGTATTATTAGAATAATAGTAAAATAGACATATTCGAAGTTCAAAATAGATTTATTTGCAATCTTATTGACATTTTTCCTCGTTTCATAATCAAACCAAAAAGTGTGTAAATCAATCAATGCACATTGTTAAAAAATAGTTCAGCTAGAAATAATAGAATAGATATTGTTTACATTTTGATTTGTGCCATTTTTATACTCAACATTTTCATACAAATAATCAAAAATTCAGAATTAGATAATTACATTTTAAATATCCAACCTATTTTCCCTCCTTTCCATATCATAAATAAAAGCCACAAATAAACCAATTTCACTTTGTTACAATCTTTTGAAAACTACAAACAATAAAATAGAAATGATGAAACAGATAGTGTTTACATTTGAATATTTTTACCAATTTTTACTAATTATTACAATTATACAATTTTAATCAAATATTTTATTGTTCCGTTTTTTTGTCACCTGGCCATTTGGCCTCATACAGGTCAGACATGGTGACCTTGTAGACCTGAAATGCAAAATAGATGCAATAAGATAAAGATTTAGAAAGCATATGTATTAGGTAATGCTAGGTTTCAGGGATGGGCCTCCAAAAGCTCTTATAAAGGATATCCAACAGTTTGAAAATAATATATAATGAAACATGCATCAGTTGAGTGATTTTGGGAAACTACATGTATTATAAAAACATAGAACTGACTATTCAACGTGAGCGGCTTCCCTTTTAGCAGTGTCTACTTGCAACATATTTGAGATGAAGAATTACAATGAAAAAGGAGTCTGATTAGCAGGAAAGATTGGGGAGAGTAGGGTTCAGCTATATTTATAACAATAGTAACAATAACAATAATGGGCATGATAATGCAAAACTCCTACCGCAGAGGTTTCGGGATTGGGATAATCCCTCAAGTCCCCACTTAGTATTTCCCTGATGGCTGCTTTCAGGCAGTCAGGGTAGACATAAGTGGGGAGTGCTTTGCCTCTGAACTGGCCTTCTCCAACTTTGTTTCCAAACTGTCAGTAAAAGAGAAAAATGATTGAATGTAAAAAGAGGACTTTGAAAACGCTTTAGCACGGATAAACACGAAATAGAATTCAATGGCACCCAACACAGTTGCTAATGTGAAGAGGTGGAGTATCAAAATCCTCATAACTAATGTCCTCTAAATGATACTGTGCTCTGTGATAAAGTGCGTCGTTCTCTCAACTAATCTGATGCAGAACAAACACAGTCGCAACTTAGACATTCGCATTTTCTCGCGATTATTTACCTTACGTTCTCGTTGGCGGTAGTGAAATTTAAAATTGCCCTAATTGGCCGTGTGATTACCTTTTTTGGTTTGGTTTTACGACACTCCATCGTCAGGACTCAGAGTGGCGTACCGGATATGCTCACAACAGAATCAAAATTCATCAAAAGAGAAGCATGCGCTTGATGCAATTTGTTTCGGAGATGTGACCAAAATATAACAAGAAATTCACATCGGGAGTTGGACTATAGTCGAACTATAGGCTTATGTAATCTTTACGATATACGCAATATGGTATGTGAACGGAAAGAGCCGAGGAAAGCGCAAGTACCTCTCCGTGAACCCGTATACTAAAACGATGGAGGGTGAATGGAGAATAACATTCTCTCGTTAAGAAAAAGCAGGGGAAATTCAAAATATAAATTAAAATCTGCAATAGAACTTACCCATAAAATACCAAAAATACGGCGAAACAACCGCTTCCTGGCAAGCTCATCACTTTCTTGGGCCTTCTTCGAGAAACCACAGACCAGCCGCGTAAGGGCCAAAGGACTTCCCTGAAAACTATTTGGCAAACAGATTTTGTCAACCAAACCAAAATTACGAAATTCAGAGAAAAATCTACATCACTGTAAATTTATTTACCCTTTCTCTGTGAAAGCTGTCTCCAACACGTGTATTGTTCGATCCGCCGCCATGGTCAAAGAGGGTCATTTGTATCAGATGACAAGGTTTTATGTCAGCGATCTGTCAACGAGACATCCTTGAGGAATTCCAAAGCAAGATGATAGTGTTTTGGGCGCAGTATGGTGTCCTACTTTTCCCGCTAAATCGGCCCTAGAAACAAAAATTCGCTCGCCTATATCTCGATAGAGTTTGGTTGTATTGACCCGAAACTTTGCATGCGAGTTTTTGTTGACATTGCCTATTAGCTGAAAAAAAATTATGACAATCCAAAAGAGTCACTTTAGCCTCCAGGAATACCTTAAGT